ACTATAAGCTTTTGATTTCCGATTTGAGCTAGGACATTATTATTTGTCCTTCCTCCTCGTCCTCTTCCCCTTCCTCTATTAGAAGAAGATGGCCTCATCATGCTGCAAAAGAGAATCATTTGATTAGATATTCTCTAGTCAAAAAATCAGGAAGACTATTATCTATTCCTTTTTTATGAAGTATTTCAAAATCAGAAAGTGCTAATAAGGCCTGTCATCTAGCAAACATTTGTTTTGAAACATCATGTTTTACATCCTTATTAAAAATGAATCTAGCAGATTGACAATCAGTTTTTATGATAAACTTTTGATTATAAAGGTCTCCTTGGAATTTTAGAACACTTTTTACAATAGCCAAGATTTCTTTAGCTATGGTAGCATAATTTCTTTGGCTATTATTCCATTTTACTGAATAAAATTGTATTAAATATTCATTATTATCATCTGGGGAGATTTGTTTTAAAATCCCACCATAGCCTATATCAGAGGCATCTGTTTCAACAATTTTATTCCAACTGGCATTAGCTAGAACAAGACATGGAAGGTTATTAACCTTGCTTTTAATCTGTTGGACAACTTTCGTATGATCATCTGTCCATGGCTTAGCATTTTTCTTAAGTCTTTCATATAATGGGGCAGCATCTTTTGCCCAGTCCTTTATAAAAGGAGAAATATAATTTAAGCTTCCTAAAAATCTCTGAAGCTGTGTTTTATCTGTAATGATATCAGAGAATTTAGATGCAAATTCTATGCTTCTTTGAATAGGAGTGATTTTTCCCTTTTCGATATTATGCCCCAAAAATCTAACAGTAGTTTGAAAAATATGCATTTTTGGCTTCGATATAATCAGACCATTTTGAATAATGATTTTCTTGAATAAATCAAGATAATTGAAATGGGTTTCTAAACTTTTAGAAAATACCGAGATATCATCTATATACAAAATTATAAAGTTGCTAAAAGGATTGAAAATATCATTCATAATTTTTTGAAATTTCGATGGGGCATTTTTCAAACCAAATGGCATAAGATTCCATTCATATTGACCCATGGGTACATTAAAAGCTGTTTTATATTTATCAGATTCAGATATTTGAATCTGCCAATAACCAGATTTTATGTCAAATTTTGAAAATATAATAGCTTCATGAAGACGATTTAGTAAATCCTTTTTATTTGGAATAGGATATCTGATCCATTTTAAAACTTTATTTAAAGGTTTATAATTTATAACGAGTCTAGGAACTCCTCTTTCTTGTTCTGCATGTTTATTAACTTAGAAAGCAGTACAAGACCATGGTGACTTTGAAGGTCTTATTAAACTTTTTTGTAAGAGACTATTAATCTCATTCTTACATAATTTTAAGTAATCTGAATTCATTTGGCAAGGTCTTGCCTTAGTAGGAATATAATCTTCTGAGAAATCTTCTTCATATGGGAGATTAACAATATGTTTTTTCCTTTCCCAGAAAACATTCGGGTGTTCACCACAAATTTGTAAAGAAAATTGATTTTTTAAATATTCAATTTTATCCTGTAATTTTGGATTTTGTAAAGTTTTTTCAATAGTAAGACTACAAATTTCATTTTTCAAAAAGCCTATTTGTTTGTTTTTTAAAGAAATTAAATCCTTAACTTCATTTATGAATTTGGAATAAGGTGGAGATATGAAATCAATCCTAATCCTTTTTCCTTCAAAATTCCCAGTAATATCAGTATAATCCCAAGAAGTAATTGGATAGATTTTCCAAAAGAAAGGCATTCCAAGAATAATTTCATTTGAAATGTTTTTTATTAAAATAAAACTTTCAGGGATACAAACATTGTTCGTACAAATATAAGCTTTAGGAATTTTATAATCAATATCCATTTTATGACCACTAGCATTTCTTAAAATATGAGTAGTCCTTTTGAAATATTTTGAAGGGATTAATCCTTCTTGGATACAATTTAAATCAGCTCCACTATCAATAAGAGCAATAAAATCTTTTTTCAAATTATAATCAATGACTATTGAAATTTTTGCAAGAGGTTTATGAGTTATAATTAATTCAATAGTTTTTAAAAATGATTCTTTATTTTCTTCTGTAAAATCTTCAGGAGTTAAATTATTAAGAGAATTGAAAGAATCATCAGCATCCTGCTCATATTTTTT